ACCTCCAAACAACCCTCTGAAACGGGGGTGCACAGAGAGGTTGCTGCTGTCACCCCGCTCTCCTTCCTTCCTCTGCTTTTTGTTTTCTGCCTCCAACCTTCTCCCCAGTTTTGGATGGATGCTCCTGGCTGTCTCTGTTCCCTTGCTGTGGGGCTGTGTCCCTCCTGTTGGGAGCATGTGTGGCTAGGTGGTCCTTGGTCTGACCTGCAGTGTAGTGCGACCCTGCCCTTGCCTGAAATCAGCAGTTATCAGTAATTCCTGCCCAGAAAACTTTTATTTATTGTTTTTAAGATAAAACAGCACAGATGGGAGTGAGAGCGACTTAATTCTGCTTTCTTTCCTCCTTCAGTGCAGCCCTTCTTGGGTGTTCAGGGTGGTTATTGGGCAGGGGCCGCCATCAGTTCTCTGAAGCAAACCTCAGTGCCTGAGACTTTCCTGTCATGCCACAGAATGGTGGCAGCTGGTAGCCTGGGTGGTTTAGCAAAGCAGTGGTGGCTCTTGCTTGGCAGTCAGCCCCCGAGTCTGTGGGCAGCCCTGGGAATCTGGTCCCCCTTTCCCAGCACTGCTCCTTTACCCAAGGTCTCCCTACATTGTGGCCTTCTTACACAGTGCTGTGGCAGTTGAGACAGCCTAGGAAAGGTGCCCATGTGACCACCATGAGGCCTGGACAGGTATGGGCAACTAAAAAAAAAAAAAAAAAAAGGTCTCCCTGTGGCTGTGTTGTGACAGCCCTTACCCAGGTAAGACGTGGATATCGTGATGCCTCTTTGCCTTAATGAGAGCTCAGTCAGCTGTCCTTCACCCTGGGAAAGGCTGTGCCAACCGCAGACCATCAGAGGCCGTATGTGACACTTACAGAGTGCACCCATGCTGCCTGCCCCATCCTTGGCCCTGTGGACAGGGTTTTCATGTGGCGGGGCTGGGCCAGCATCTCTGGTTTCACCTGGCAGGTGAGCTGAGTGAGGTCAGAGGCCCTGGGACTGTGGACCCATCGAGTTTGGTTTAGTATTGACAGGGTCATCCTGGAGAGTCAGGAGGTAGAGAGTAAGCCAGTCTCTCCAGCCACCTGCCAGCAGTCTACAGAGAAAGTGCTGAGGGCTATCTATCTCCCTCCTGGTAGCCTCCCTGGTTAGGGCTTCATACTTAACGTCTTTTCTGATCCCTGAATCTGGTAGACTGGATATCCTGGAATAGCTGTGTCCTTGACTTAGCTGTGCTCCTGATACCAATTGTACTAGCACCATTATTCATGCTGGGCAGGTACTGCACAGCACACTCTGGAGAGCTTTTGCCACCACGTACCCCCCCCATCTTTGTCTACAAAGTTAATTACTTTTTCTCATGTTTTGGAATCCACATCATTCTTGTTTTCTTGTCTTTAGCTAAAGAAATTGTTGTGATTTCTCTGCTTATGGTTTTGAATTACTCTTTGTTCAGTAATGCACTTTATTTTATTGTCCAAAGAGAGTCAAGCTAATGCTACCAGCTTGGGGTGAGCCCTACAGAAGGTTCAGGCCTGAGCAGCTCAGCTACCTCCTCCTCCATGGAGGTGGCCCTAGTCCCACCTCTAATCCCTCCTGCCATCAGGCACTATAACCCAGAAAGGGGTGCCTGTGGGTATACCTACCCACGTGAACCCAGTGGCTGCCATGGTCCTCTTCAGGCCCAGAGATGGGGCCTCGCCCTGGCCTTGCTCTGACCAGCCTGCTCCTGGGACATGGGTGCTCCCGCTTCGGCTCTGATTTGGGCTCAGGTGTGCACTGGCTGGGTGTGGACTAGTATTCCTTTGACCCTAGCCCTGCAGTGGAACCTAATAAAAGCGCCTGAAGCGACTGCCCTGCTCCCAGTGCCTTGTTCTGTGCCCAGAACCATTGCCCACCAGGAGTAGGCTGAGTGTGTGTGTGTGTGTGTGTGTGTGTGTGTGGGGGGGGGGGGGGGGGGGGGGGGGGGGGGGGGGGGGGGGGGGGGGGGGGGGGGGGGGGGGGGGGGGGGGGGGGGGGGGGGGGGGGGGGGGGGGGGGGGGGGGGGGGGGGGGGGGGGGGGGGGGGGGGGGGGGGGGGGGGGGGGGGGGGGGGGGGGGGGGGGGGGGGGGGGGGGGGGGGGGGGGGGGGGGGGGGGGGGGGGGGGGGGGGGGGGGGGGGGGGGGGGGGGGGGGGGGGGGGGGGGGGGGGGGGGGGGGGGGGGGGGGGGGGGGGGGGGGGGGGGGGGGGGGGGGGGGGGGGGGGGGGGGGGGGGGGGGGGGGGGGGGGGGGGGGGGGGGGGGGGGGGGGGGGGGGGGGGGGGGGGGGGGGGGGGGGGGGGGGGGGGGGGGGGGGGGGGGGGGGGGGGGGGGGGGGGGGGGGGGGGGGGGGGGGGGGGGGGGGGGGGGGGGGGGGGGGGGGGGTGTGTGTGTGGGGTGGGGGTGTGGGTGTGTGGTGTGTGGGGTGTGGGGGGGTGTGTGTGGGTGGGGGGGGGGTGTGTGTGGGGGTGTGTGGGGGGAGTGTGTGTGTGTGTGGGTGGTTGGGTGTCTGTGTGTGGGTGTGTGGGGTGTGTGTGTGAGGGGGTGTGTGTGTGTGTGGTGTGGGGTGAGTGTGTGTGTGTGGGGGTGCGGGGGGGGGGGGGGGTGGGGGGGGGGGGGGTGTGGGGGGTGTGTGTGGTGTGTGTGTGTGTGTGTGTGTGTGTGTGTGTGTGCACACGCCTGCATAGGGACAGTCTTCAGTGTTAAAGCCTGGTGTGCAGAAGATGAGCTGAGGATGCTTCCAACTCCCTGGAGGAGACTCGGGTCCTGTAGAGGACGTCTTAACCCCCAAGGTGTCTTCAGAGCAGCCTGGTGACAGGGCTCAGACATCTCTTCCAAATGCCACTGAGAATTGGTGCAGTAGGTCCAGTCCTTCCACAGCCTCACGCTCAGGTTAAAGTTGTGATTTGGCTTTTAGTTTGTAATTTCATTTTTAGTTTTTAATTTACAACTGGGCATGGTGGTAGATGCCTTTAATTCCAGCACTCAGGAGGCAGAGACACAGGGATCTCTTGAGTTCCAAGGCCAGCGAAGTCTGCAGAGCGACTTCCAGGACAGCCAGGGCTACACAGAGAAACCCTGTCCATAAAAACCAATGCGAAACTGGTATTTTTAGAGATAGTCTCACTGTGTAGTCCTGGCTTGCCTTTGCCTCCAGAGTGCTGGGACTAAAGGTGTGTGCCACCACCGCCTGGCTCATCATTTTTACTGTGTTTTTGTGCACATGAATAGAAAGGTCACTAGAGGGCGCGGGAGCCCTTGGGGATGCCAGGGGCTGTAGATGCTGGAAATCAAACTTGGGTCCTGCGCAAGAACAGTAAGTGCTCTCAAATGCCGAGCCATGTTGTAGCCCCACGGTTGTGTTTTAACAGCTATGATAGGTGTCCAAGCCTATGGGACTTTTTTTGTGCCCGGTTGTCCCCTGGTTGGCCGCTTAAGGTTTTTAAGAGACAGGGTTTCCTGAGCTGACCCCGCACTCAAGCGATCGTGCCCCAGCCTCCGAGGAGCTGCACTACAGTGTAGCCGGTGGCATCTCAGGAGGCGAGCACTCCAGCTTCCACTTGGGGCGTCATCCAGAGGAGGCTTCTCACCTCCGCCTGCTCCCTCTAAGAGCAGCAAGCAGAGCTGCCATCGAGGAAAACGCGAAGAGGCCTCCCGACGCTTCAGGCGGAGAGCGCAGGCTCGCCCTGCTGGCTGGCCCGAAGCCCCTTTTCGCCCCCGGCCAAGGGACTGCTCGGTGTGCTGAGCCTCCCGAGTGCCGACTGACAAGACCGGGTGCGGCGTCGAGCCGGGCACCAGAGCAAGCCCTCCGATCGCCGGGAAGGGGGGTGGCGGTCTGAGGCAGGGACCTGAAAGACCGCTTCCCCCGCGGCCGCCCGGCCCGCAAGG